TGTGCAAAGCTGTGCGCAGCCGAGCACCAGGTTGCCCTGTCCGTGCGTATTGTGGGTGATGGGCTACGGTGTTATTCAGATTCTAACCTGTGTTTGTTATATTCCCTCGTTTATTTAGTAAATCCACCGGCTTTGTTCTCTTATAATTCATTATCGACATCGAGTATTTTAAAATGATTACTTCGCCATAGCAAAATGACGACCTTGATCACGCCAGTGCTCTCAGTTACCCCCCTTGGTACATCTAGTTGGTGACCTTCTCAACTACAGTCTGGGAGCTTATTAGCTCAACAGCAAGCTTCATGGGGTTTTGTCAACTTGACCATGGCTGGCAGCCATTAGCTGCCCGTAGTATCCAACTGTCATCTCATCGAATCTTCGGCGGGAGTTTTGACGTACAAACAACTCTTGGCTAGTATGCAGCTGCCCGAAAACCCAAGCAAATTTGCATCAGGTGGAGAGAATGTCCTAGTCGAGAGCGCGGTAAGCACTGAGTCCGCTGTTTGCGGGACAGTGAAATGGCTGCACCAATCTGCGTCGGGCAGATCGTCGCTAACCCTTTTAATTTGCATTTCTGTGGAAAGCAACATAGTCCATGCTAACGGTATACCTGTGATTAGATATCCTCCTCCCTCACATGTAGGCCGTCAATAGCGTTGCTAAATGCTTCATTCGGCAAGCGTGAATCTCGGGCTGCTGAAAAACGCAATACGAAAGGACTATTATAAGAATCATGCACCATTTGTGCAAACATTTCGAGGAATTACTGCAGAAAAACGATATTTAATTAAATTACACTATCTGCGGGATCGCTGTTGTTTTGCACAGTTTTTTTACTCTCAATATTTATATTATTTTTCACTTCTCCTCTCAGCCCTTCAGTTTGGTTTTGTGCAAGCTGCCAGCTCTAGAAGCATTCTTAAGTAATCTTTACGGTATCGTTTGCAGTAGGGTATAATAGATCGAACAGTCACCAGCTACGTTACACTAAACAGGCGACATCTGTGAAACTAACGGGCGAGGACGGGCGTATTCCAGTCCATTCAGCCGATCAGGCAAAGCTGCAACCCGATAACTTCTCCAGCCTCCTTTGTTTTTTTTAGCTTGAAAGCTAGTCGCAAAGTGAATAGATGTATTGAGTGACATTTCTTACCATCAGTGCTTTGGAAAAATAAATATAATACAATTATTATAGCATTGTATTTATTTAATAATTTATTATTGGCTTTCGTAAAAGTCCGTAAGATATAAAATTGTCCCCGTAATTACTGTATTGATTTTTTTTTACAGTTGACTGGTGGGAAGGTGCCGCGACGTTAATGGTTCTGGGAGGTTCTAGCTAGTCGTCTGCTAGCGGACAGACTTACTCTCATTCTTCATTCCAACCTCTCGGGCCCATGTCGACTTCTCGCAGCGTGTGCATCTTCTACTTTACGGATTGCGGCAACGGCGTCTTTACGTGCAAGCAGTGCAATACGAGTCGCAAACAAGCTCAAGGCTGATGCCAGTATCGTGCACTTTCTTGTCTTTGAGCGGGCCGTCGTGAAAGTTTAGGGTGCTCGCAGGCTTCAAGCGGACGAAGAAGCTGCTGTGGAGCCCTTTCTGGTCGTCCAACCTTCTTTAGCCCGGCCGACCAAGCAGGGGGATTTCGCTACAGCCACACTCCGACAAGCCAAGAAGCCTCGCACGCGTCATCACAGAAGTACGACGAGTTGTTGAGCCAACTGCCGCCGACTAGCAACCGATGCGAGCGCCTCTTTTCACAGTGCAAGCTAATTCTCACCCCACGGCGGTCAAGTCTGCTGCCAGCGAACTTTGAGATGCTCGTGTTTCTACGAGCGAATCGCGACCTTTGGAGCTTCACCTCGCTTGTTGGCATTGATTATATTTAGAAAGTAGTTTGCGCATGAGAAACTTGAGGGCTACAACGCTGCCGAAATAAGGTTTAGACTTCTTTTTTTATCAGAACCCAACAAAACTGCTGCTCAGGCTGGCTCGTATCTTGCCGTCGCCGGCTATATTTGGTAAGCTAAATAAAACCAGCTTGGATGATAGTCACCAGCCTTCTCTGCAGCAGTGGGCTTCGAACAGTGTTGGTTAAACCACTGGTGGAATACTCCATTAACACCAATCACCATGGTTGTTTTTTTTCTGGAGTTTTGGTGGCGTTACTATGATTATTTGGTGTTATTACTGGCAATTAGTATGGTGTACGCATTGTGTATGTAATGTTGCTAAACGAAAAAAAACTCAAGTTGGGTACGCTCAAGATGCGACAAAGCTCTACCACACGAAGTTAGCGGCGGTGTAATGGCTACGGGGGCAGCTGTGGTCGACTAAGTGGACGAGTTCATGGCACTGGATTCAGAACTTCCTACGCTACCTGTTGTACTTAAGAATGATGACGAAATGACAGTGTCCGCTGAGACGACGCTGATCTTCTTGAACACGACGTACTCCTCTGCTGCAAGACTGAGCGAGCTGTCGCCTGGTAGCTCCACTAGACCCACAATGATGTAGTCTTCTGCTGTCGGTAGCGTGAACGTATTGGTCTCTAGAGCCTTAGCGCCGGCCGTGGCGAAAGCTCCACGGTGGAGACGGAGACGCGTGAGGAGACGGAGATGGAGGTGAGCGGTCTCGCGACGACGTCGACGTCGACGTCTGGTGGCCGCGCTATTCGGTCGACCGTGGAGGCCGGTGCAGACCCGGGTGAGTCGGTTCAGACGGAGGTGTTCCAGTCGCAGGAGGCCGATGGCAGCATCGTGACGAAGACGGTGAAGACGACGACGCGTACTTCGATGAGTGCCAGCGGCGAGCTGGTGAGGACGGTCGAGGTGGAGACCACAACGGAGACGGAGACGACGTCTGGCGAGAAAACCACGACGGTGGAGACGGAGGTGAGCGGTCTCGCGACGACGTCGACGTCTGGTGGCCGCGCTATTCGGTCGACCGTGGAGGCCGGTGCGGCCCCGGGTGAGTCGGTTCAGACGGAGGTGTTCCCGTCGCAGGAGGCCGACGGCAGCATCGTGACGAAGACGGTGAGGCCGATGACGCTGTTGAGTTGGTATGTAAGTGGAGCACACTTCCTGCATTTCATACGAACTACCAGCTAATTCATTATCTTAATATGTTGGTGCTATGCTGTCCTACTAGGTTTCTTTATTTCGTTTGTGAGCTGAACGTTTTAAAGATATTTAATAAAAGTGAAAGCGTGAAGGTGATATACAAATATCAGGTTGTATTGTCTACAGACGCCATTCATTGTCCAGACGGCTCGACGATCGGCTACTGAGTTTGGGACTCGCTAAACCTTCCAGAAGTCGCTGCGTTTTATGTGCTCAGGCTGCATTCGTAGTCGAATGTTCCTCTCCATTTACTTCGTACAAATGTGTACTGCGTGTATTTATTTCAACGCACTCCAACTGAAAGACCCTACCATAGTTTATCGTTTCATCGACTGGTTGATCAAACCTGCCCCTCTCGGCGGAAGCGCACCGGGCTCGCAAAATGCCATACTGCATTTAAACCATCACATAGAGTTAGTACAAATACCCGAGTAAGTGTTGTCACGAACGATTTACCTGGATCTTCAGTTAATGCTTCCGACGTATCCCATAGCTCCGCCAACGAAATCTTCTGACCACGTAGCCCCGTCAGCACTTTTTGCTGTGGAAAATTGCGGTCGTTAAAAGAAGGAAATGGGTCCTTAATAGGTTCTTGAATGTCTTCCTCGGACTACTGCGCAATTTTGATAATCTTGTCTCTGAGCGCACGCTCAGCTTCGTCACTGCCCCGGTCTGCCGGTAGTATTGGTCTCGATCTACTGTCAGAATCACTACAGTACGACGCTCGATCGGCAGATAACTCACTGATCTCAACCACAGCCCTGTGATTCGGTGGCGGCACGTCTTCATCTCCATCTAGCTCTGCCAGAACAGCACCCCAGTATTCAAAAGCATCGTCCCCCCCCCCAACTCACTTCCTGTTTCGTCGTCTGACTCAACTTCAGTATCGACTTGGTTGCATTCAAATCGCTCGTCTTGGCGTCGAGGGTGCTCTGTTGGGTTGATCAGCTTTTTAATACGCTGGGATTTCAAGATGCTATCAAGCTGATCCGACTCACGAACCTTCTTCCGAACAGCGGCGATTTTGCGAGCCTTCTCCACCGACATTTGTTTCGTTTTGCTGTGTGAATCAGCGCTAACTCACTGAAGTAGCGCTCGCATGTTGCTGTGTTGACCACAATAGACAGCACTTGCATCGGAAGTATCGGCAACTTGCTAAAAGGCATGTCATCGCGCATGAAATCCCAGAACGAACTGACTATACTGAACCCTCCCTGTGGTGGAAGTGCTAGCTTTCCTTTCAGCCACTTGTAAATATCCTCTCCTAAGTTGCCGGGGTCCGCGCGCGTGAATCGCCGATAATAGTAAACGCCGATGCGGCACAGGGAGCCTATCGTTGTCAGCGGGGTCTTGTTTAACAGCTTTTGAGCGGCATTGGTGTGTAAAGGATGTAAAAATAGAGCGAGCAACATGAGCGGCTGCTCACACTGTTTCCATCGCTGCTCCACTTGCTTGATAAGGTTGCGCGTGCCAAACGGACGCACCGAAAATCCTTTGATCATATCCATGTAGCACACAACAGCATCCGCGAGCGAGTTCTCGTCGCGCTGCAACTTCAAAGAGGCAAATGCAAGCGGACGCACCACCTCTTCAGCGTCTTTAAGCCGTTCCCAAAATGATCCTCTGCTAAAAACGCGTGCAGCATCAGGAAAATCATCGCCAGCTCGAAACTTAAACTCTAGTAACTCAAGCGCACTTTGAACGCGCAACAACGATGCAAAACATCCATGCATGCTGTTCCAACGGGTTTCACATAATTGTTTCAGATTCAGGAAATATCCATAAGTATCCACCATGCACGTCCTTGCTTCGACTAACCACTTTGCGGAAGACGCATTCAGAGCATTGACCGCGTCTGATGCTTGCTTGGTGACCTCAGAAAAATCTGACTTTAGAACTGCATTGACTAAATTGTTTAGATCATGAGCAAAACAGATCTGAAATGAGATATGCGGCCACCGTAGACTTAAAATTCGTCGTGCCCGCGCGCATTGTCCGGCATTATCGGTAACAACGCCACCAATTATCCAACCATCATTCTGCATCTTTTCCATCATACATTCCATTTGTTCCGCAATTGCGATAGCGTCATGCCTGGGTCCCGTAGGAAGCAAAGCGTATGTCATACCACAACCAAAAAGAACCAATTGGCAACCAAGCAAGTGAGCGCGAGAAATGTTCTGCCAAACATCACTTAAGAAATTCACGCGCACCTTCATTGGCATATTGTACATTACGAAGTGCCGTGCTATCTTGGCTCTCGCAGTCGAAAGCGTACGCGTCTAGAAAGGGTCCACCAAGCTTCTTGCGGGTTGGTAGTGGGAAGATGTCAGCGATCATCTTGCTTACGTGACGCAGAAACGCACAGTAGATAAGCGCTCAATAAAACTGTCAGGAAGCCGATTATCAGCTTGAAACTCAACTAGTAATCTCATGAAGATCTCTCCCTCCGCGTCATGCGATGGTCCTGAAAAAAACTGGTCGATACGCTTCTGTCTTTTCTCACTTCGTGTCGAGGACGCATCGTCGTGAACAGACGAACTGCTATTAGGTTGAAAGGCTGTTGAGCTGGAAGAACGGCTAGCAGCTTCCACAGAGTTGCGTGTTTGAATATAGGCTTGATAGAATTTACAGCTCTTGAGATGGCTTCTATAGTTTTCCGGCACTCCCTCGAAGTCTCTTCGGCTCAGGGACAGGAGGCTCGTGCGGTGTTGCGTGGTAACTACCCTCAGCTGGCTGCCGCGAAGCACGATACGCATTGTTGCAGTGGTTGCAAATGTGGTATGTCCGGTTGTTACCGGCGTCTTCATGCAAGTCTGTGAACTCGTCGCGCTCTTGGCACGATGGGTGGCCCATGCTTCGGTACGGTGTAGTGTTCGATGTGCGATAGCTAAATACACTTGTCGAGCGTGCGTATTTCAGAAATAGAGACTTGTTGTATGTGGTATCAGTATTACTTTGACGGTGGGGACCGGATCACTCCGTCCAGTGAATCACCACCAACCTCCAGGTGCACTGGTTTTACACTGGTGTTCTCTACAACAAAACCATATAAAACCATATAAAACCATTAAATTTAAAAACCAAAAACCAGCCAACACTGCTTCGAACCCAAGCCAGTGGCGTGATAGGGTCACTGCCCCGTCCTGACCCGTGCAATACAGCAAAATAATTGAATAATTTATTATTGTGGATCGGTATATTGCAATGATTATTACGTGCTTCTGTGAAACCCATTACAATATTTTATTTTATTGTAAGAGCACTGCTTACCATCCTAGTCCTTCACTACAGGACTGCGGTAGCGTCTTCCCCCTTTGTTTAAGCATGACCGCTACTTACGCCGCAGATTATGTAAGTTGGTGCCGCTGCTGACGTAGCTGATTGTGCAGTCCTACTATTGACGCAGCTTGATCCAGTGTCGCTCCTCGTGACGGTCGCTGCTAGTGTCGGCCCGGTTGTCGGTGTTGGTCGCTGCTGTGTCGACGCTGTCATCTGGTACAATAAATGTACTCTACACCTCCGCACTTAGATTTGGTAGGCTCTCTCACCAACGCACGAGAGGTCTTCGAAAAGCAGTGATCCCCCCAAAAACCTTGATCGAATAATTACGGACTGCCTGAGCGTAAACCACTAGACGCAAGTAGATAAACATACATTTTTTAACCAATTGGTTACTTACAGAAACAAACATAAGCTGTGTGATGACGAGCTCGTCATCACACAGTAAACGAGCTCGTCATCATACCACTTATGTTTGGTCCCAGGTCCTGCAAATTGGCTTTGCATTATTATAAGCGAGCTCGTCATCACACAGCTTATGTTTTTCTGTAAGTATAAATAAACTGGATATTTCATCCATACTCTGCACTTCGTGTCGTCTAACCTCTCTTTGATGCGATTCCCCACTTTACCTTTTCCCTCGCCGGACGCAACCACTAGGCACAACTATCTAAAGTGCGATGCGTGTCCTGTACATAACGTTAATATCAACGACCGCTGCGCTCTTGTACAGTCATGCCTTTGCATTGACGACGAAGGCTAACGCCGACACGACGCAGACGACAACCGATATTTCGTCCGCATTGCTCGCAGGAGTACAGGACAAAGACCTTGCCATGCGAGCTCTAAGGACAGGTCGCTCGGGTGGTGGCAATGTTGAGCACAAGGACCATGACGAAGAGCGGTGGCTTAGTCGTGTTACAAATTGGATCAAGTACAAGAGGGGCAAGATGAATCCCAAGCAATTACACACATACTTGGGCTTAGATGGACTGGGCCAAAGCGCTCGCGATAGCTCGAACTTCCAGAAGTACTTGAAGAAGTCGGCCGAATGGCGGAACAAACACTAAAGTTACGTTTAGTCTTGCTCACAAGGCCGAGCGATATCGACAAGAGTCAGCAAGAGGTTCCAAGCGTCAATAGCGAGCAATTGAAGGACTAAAACCATGAGAGACGAATAAAAACGATTTGGAAGCATGGGCGTTGACGCAAAGACACTCATTGTGTCACAGCGAGGACGCAATCGACCAGATAGAAGTCAAAACACTACGCAGCCAGACGAGCATCGTGAGTCTTCGAGATAGCAAGACTGTGGAGTGTGCAGTGGGTGACGGACTGAAGTGGGGGAAATATCAATGATATTTGCATTTTTAATTGAGCTACTAACTCATGTTAAATGCTAAACTTGTACTACTACTAGTAGTAGTAGTAGTATTAAAACTGTACGTGTCTGTTTAAATTCGAATACCGAGGTACGTAGTGATACTAGGTTTTATAAGCTGACTACTTCGAAGTATCAATTCAAAGTTACGCTTAGTCACTCCATCTGCGGGAGATTATGCGCTTGTCGTTCAACAAGTTGCAAAACAGTGAGTCCCGCAACATGTTCGAGTGGTGATGTGACGTCGTCCTTCATGGCAATTCGCAGGTATTTAATGATCATCTGATGCGTAGGTTGAACACTCGCTAGCTTGAGACTCGCCATTTCGGTGAGTTGCAGTGGATTCATTCGTCGATTGTCCATGATGGTCATTGAGGCGCCAGCACAGACCAATAGTCTTGTGCTCTTGATATGACCATAAAAAGCTGCGTAGTGTAGCGCCGTAAGCCCGTCCAGTGAGTCCTGTTGATCAATCGATGCTCCATTCCGCAAGAGAAGAGATAATACCTCGTCTGATCTGCCCAGTGAAGAGCTGTTCGCCCAAGATGGTCCACTTCGTCCACGATTTGTTCATTTCTCAAACACAATTGCGCCGTCTTTGCATCGCCCGACCGCGCAGCCTCAAGAAAAAGTGCGAAACGACCGGGAAAGTTGTTGCTGTGTTGTTTCTGCCCTGTAGTAACAGCGATTTTACTCTGTTGAGTTTTAGTGTTCAAGTATTGATGAGCTGCCTGAGCATTTTGCGTTTCGAGCGAAACTTGAGTGCAATACGCGAGTACCACAGTGGATATGCCAACGACAATGTAAATAATCAGTGGGACGGCAGCTAGGATCAAGAAAACTCGTCTGGTACTTGTCGCCGTACTGGAGGGAAGACTTAAAAATAGTAGTAAAAATACCACACACGGAAAACCCACACAGATTCCACGAAGACAGCGACTTCGTAGACAGCATAATAAACGCGAAAAAGTTGGTGAAGGAACATCGCTTCCTATCCCTT